AAAATGAAAGGAACTGGCAGGCGCTGATCATGCAACGTGAAATAAATCTGAAGGAAAGAGACACATATGAGATGATGTCATCTGGGTGTGTGCTACAAGGACCCCAAACTGATGAACGAACCAGACAAAACAAAAACAAACCAGTGGACAATGCACAGGACGAAGACTTCCTGAAGGGAAGGTTGTGGGGGTGTCAGGAAGGGGGTGGCGGAAAGTGTCCTTTGAAACACAAATAAAAAGGGGCTGGAGAGATACAGCAGGTCTGGCACAAGCTTGCACGTGGCTGACCTGGGTTGGTTCCCCAGCATCCCATCTGGTCCCCCGAGCAACACCAGGAGTGATTCCTCAGTGCAGAGCCAGGAGTAAGTCCTGAACACCACTGAGTGTGGTCCAAAAACCAAAACCCAAAGAAAACACACACACACACACACACACACACACACACACGAAACCAGCAAAAACTGCATTTGGTTCTGGTATGGAAGTAAGGAGGCTGGTGGGTGGGTTGAAGTGGGAGACAGATAGGGGTGACAAGAAGGGGTCACAGGGGGTTGTAGAGGGAGTCTAGAGACTTCTGGAGGGGCTTGACATGAGGTTCAGCAAGAGGATGCCAGGGATGACTCTGGTTTGGAGGTAACTTGGCGAAATCCTAGAAAAGGAGTGGGGAGTGTGTATGTGTGTATATATGTGTATGTATGCGTGTGTGTGTGCGTGTGCATGTGTGTGTGTAGGAGAGTTCCGTCTGTGTCTGTCTGAGGAGACCAAGTGGGTCAGTCATAGGTCTTGGGATCTGAGAAGGGGCCACCTGTGTAACACACTTTGGGGTTGATCCTTCAGTTGCAGGGGCCGTTGTGTTTGGGGGGACACAGGGGCATGCTGGAGCGCCTCTTCTCAGTGGTGGTGCTGGACCCTCACAGCAGTGGGTCCTGCCATCTCCAGGTGCTATAGAATGACGGGTCTCAGGTACCCACGTTCTCTACAGACTCTCACTCAGTCCCAGCCCTCCAGATATGGCAAGGGACAAAGGCAATGAGAGGCGTGGACTCAGGGTCCTGTCTGAGAAGCACTTCCTGCACGCCCCCAGGAGTCATTCCTTCCGCCACCTTTGCACCGTGGCCCATTAGCAGTTGGCTGCCCAGCTGTCTCGGAAGAAAAACGGTGGGGTTTAAGTCCTGCCCCTCTTATTTACCAAGAGTTCCGTGCGGGGGGGCGGGGAGGGAGGACAGGGGGAGAGTTACCAGAATGTCTTTGGGCTGCACCGACTGCCCCCCACTGCCGTCTTTGCTCGGCTCCCTTGCTTGGCTCCTGTCTCTCTCCAGTTATCAGCCCGCTCCTGCCACATCGCCCCCCGCTAGCCAATTCTTATTTCCTGGCCGTGCCAGTCTGATTACTTCTAATTGTCTTTGACTGCATCCAGCTGGGCCTTCTAGCTGGCTTTCTGTGGGAGCGCAGAGACTGTTTCCCCAGCCATATGGAGAGAGGAGATGGGGAAGGAATCAAGGAGGAAGGAAGGAAGGAAGCAGCTGGTTCAAGTCAACTGAGAAGGCTCCGCATGGCCAATGTGATTGCTAATGTTGTGGTTTTTTCAAAAAGGGTTAACGCATCCAAGTGAGCCCGAGCCAATGACCTCTCTCTCTCTCTCTCTCCCTCCCCCCTCTCTCTTTGCTTTTAGGTCACACCCAGTGATGCTCAGGGCTTGCTTCTGGCTCTGCGCCCAGGGACCACTCCTGGCAGGTTCAGGGGACCATACGGGATGCTGGGAATTGAACCCAGGTTGGCCACATGCAAGGCAAACATGCCACCTGCTGTGCTGTTGCTCTGCCCCTCTTTCTCTTGACCTTCCCACGCCAGCCCCCCAAGGCAGCTATCAAAGTGCAACAGCTTTTCCGAAGTTATCAGAAGTATCCCAGGGCTGGAGAGAGGGCACAGGTACCTGCCTTTGCATCCTGCAGATTTTGCTTGGAATTCCTGGCATCACCTATGGGCTTGCAACACCGCCAGGAGTCACTTCTGAGCACGGAGCCAGGAGTAGCCCTTGAGCACCACCCAATGTGGTCCCACCTCCAAGTAAGAAAGAAGTTCTGGGGCTGGGGAGATCACGCAAGGGGGTGGAGTGCAGGCTTTGCATGGGGGTGGGGACGGGGTGCTGGGTTCTAGCCCCAGCACTGCCACCTGTAACCCAGAAGGAAATGAAGTTTATTTGGCTTGGGATAATCAGTAGATAAATCTTCAAGGCCTACAGACTTCAAGATGTTTTCTGCTCACAGCATATGAGGGAGGTACAATATTTTTTGTTCACTTAAAATAATGGTGGTGGTGGTGGGTGGGGGGAATGCAGCACAGAGTCATAGTACAGAGGCTAGGGCATGTGGTTTCAAGCACCTGGTCAACCAGGGTTCAATCCCCCACACAGTCCCCGAGTCCCCACCAGGAGTGATCCCTGAGCACAGAACCAGGAGGAGCCCAAGCGCTCATGGTGTAGCCCCAAAGGAACAAAAACAAACCAAAGATTTGCAGGGGAGTCCTTAGGAAACAAGATGATTTCCGTGATGAGAACATGCATTTCCAAACTAGTCACCAGGGGGGGCCAGAAAGATGGTCCAATAGGCTGAGCTTATGCAAGTGGCCTGGGCATAGAGCTGAGTAGACCCTCATCACTGCTAGGTGTGCCCCCTAACAAAAATAAAACCCCCAAACTCATCACTAATCACAGGCAGGCATAGGATTTGAAGTTCTCTTTGGCCCCGATCCCAGACAATGGAGTTAGCAGTGAACTTGAATCAAACCTTGGCAAGAAGACTTGAAAAAGATCTCATGGGCCTGCATATTCTCTCTTCTTCACCCCTTTCTCTACCTGCGAGGTAATTAAAAGGAACAGAAATCTTACTGGAAACTTCTTTCTCCACTTATGAGACTGAAGCTAACTTTTTTTTGGCCAAAAAGATACTTTGATGAGACCCCTTTGAAATCCACCCTAATAATTCCTCCTCCTCCTCCTCCTTTTCCTCTCACAACTAATAATGCAACATCAGGGAAACTCCAAAACTTCTTGGGGGAAAATGCAAACGGCTTTGACGTGCCATCACCCCACCCTCCACCCCTAATTCACTGGGCATCTGTTCAATTTGTACTTTGCAAGCCATGTGCTCCTCATATGACTGCCCCCACCTCCCACCGTTTACTGTCCTAAAATTAAAATTTGACAATCACATAGAGAGCCATTGGCTTGGCCCTGCAGAGTCATTGGTGGTCAAGAACTCCCGCTTCTAAGAGAGAGATCTCTACGCGTGGGGAAAGGCGAGAACGAGAAAGGCCAGAGCAGAGGAAGCCGCGGGAAGCCGCGCTGGGTGCTTGGCGCGCCGGAGCCTGCGAGCACGCATATCTCAGATCTGATCTCCTTTCAAGAGGCGTTTCTCTGGGTCACTTCCCACATGGGTCAAAGAGTCCCGAAGACACCGATTCGGAAACGCCGTGCGTGCCCGCCCGCGCGCATCCCCCAATCCGTGCGCCCTGGCGCGGGTTCTACCAGACTTGTTTACCCAGCGGTGAACAATGCCAGGACCTGGATTCCGCACGAATCCTTTCTCTTGCAACGGGCGTGAGGTTTCAGTGCCAGGCGGCCGCTTTGCACCAGGCTTCGCAACAGGTAGCCTTCTGCAAATGCGTCTCCGTCCCTCCGCCGACCCCTCTCCCCCTCGCCACCCTCTGCCTTTCCACATTCCTCTTTGGGGAGCGTTTTAAGACGGTGTGTGTGAGTGTGTGTGTGTGTGTGTGGCGGGGGAATGGGGGGGGGCGTGGATTATCCCGAAGCTGCTCCCGACTCGCAGGGCAGCGACACCTGTTTACCCGGGCCGAGAAGCCTGGGCGCACACAGAACAAAGCCTCGGGGAGGAGGGAGAAGGCGGGGTGCTCCCCCCGCCCCCCCGCCCGCTCTCGCCCGCAATTCAACGCCGGGCTAGGAAGGTGTAAAACGCACCGAGGCCGCACACGCTTCTACGTCGCCGCAGCTACTATCACCGAGGCGCCGGCTCCTCCTCCCAAGCCAGCAATCCGGGGTCTGCGTGCGAACCCCGCCACCTCCCCAGCCTGCACGCGTGCGTCCGTCTTTCCGTCCGTCCGTCCGTCCATCCATCCATCCTTCCATCCATCCTTCCATCCATCCTTCCTTCCTTCCATCCCACCGCCCAGGGGCCAGGAGGGCCCCCCACCGTGGGCCAGGCTCCGAGCTGGACACCGAACACCCACCCCGCGGTCCACGGGGGCTGCGCGAGCGCCTCCCTCCCGCGCTCCTGCCTGGCCCGGGAGCGCGCGTCTACCGGGGCCGCGCGGGGGGTCCCCCCAGTCTGGCGCTGGCTCGGCGGGCTCCTCCGCCGCCCACTCGGCCGCTCCCCGCCCCGGGCCCTCCCCTCGGCGCCGAGGGTCGAGCTTGGCAGCGGCGCGCGGGGAAGGAGGGGCCAGGCGGGATTTGAAAGTGCTCGGGCCGCACCGCCGAGCTCGCCTCTGTTCCCGCCGCCCGCCGCCGGATTGAATTTCTGCAAAAAAATTTCAAACTGTGAATGGAGCTTTCTTCGGCCGCCTTCCAGGGGGCGCCTGCCGCCCGCCACGCGCTGTCCAGGCCCGGGAGCGGCCGCCGGGAGCCCCGCTAAGGAGCCACCCCCCGACCCCCGGCGGGCAGTGGCCCCGGACCGCGCCCCCGACCCCGCGGGACGACTGTCAGCGGCCGCCCGGACGGCCCCGCGCCCGGGATCGCGGCGTCGGGAAAAGGGCTTCCGAGAGACCCCGTAAAGAACTTCTTGGGGGGTGGGGGTGCGGCTCGGCGCCCCCCCCCAGCCTCAGGCTCCCCGGGCGCCCGCTATTGTCTGCGCGCCGCGCTCGGCGGCCCGGGGCGCGCGGGAGGCGCGGACCGGGCGGGGCCAGCCCCGGGCGGTGGCGGCGGGAGGAAAAGGAGGAGGAGGAGGTGGAGGAGGAGGAGAAGAAGGAGGAGGAGGAGCAGGAGGAGCAGGAGCAGGAGCAGGAGGAGGAGCAGCAACCGCGCGCGCGGGAGCCGGCCGGGAGCTGCGCGCCCGGCGCGGGTGAAGCGATGCCGGCGGCGGCGGGGGACGGGCTCCTGGGCGAGCCGGCGGCGCCCGGCGGTGGCGGCGGCGCCGAGGACGCGGCCCGGCCGGCGGCGGCCTGCGAGGGAAGTTTCCTGCCCGCCTGGGTGAGCGGCGTGCCCCGCGAGCGGCTGCGGGACTTCCAGCACCACAAGCGCGTGGGCAACTACCTGATCGGCAGCCGCAAGCTGGGCGAGGGCTCCTTCGCCAAGGTGCGCGAGGGGCTGCACGTGCTCACCGGAGAGAAGGTGAGCCGGAGGGGTGGGGGTGGGGGGGAAACCCGCGGGGAGCACTGTCCGGGGAGTCCGGCTGCAGAGAGAGCTGGGCGCCCACTTCTACCCACCCCCATCCGTGACTCTGTTCGGGTTGCAGGAGGCGGGCACGGACCTAGCGCGCGGTGCCTGACCTCTCGCGTGGGGTGATCTGGGGTCAGTTTCACCCACGGGGGTGCAGGTTTCCCCGAAGACACCAGCAGCATTTTTCTTCTTGCTTTAAAAAAAATTTTTTTTTGGCTCCTGGAAGGGCGCCGCCTAGCGGACACCGGTGCCGGCGGGGGGGCGGTTAGAGTTGGGGGCGGGGGGTTGGGGATTCCAGAGCTGCTCTGGGGGCCGCTACCGCTGTAGATCAATGTGGGGGGGAGAGAGAGGGAGAGAGAGAGAGGGAGAGGGAGGGAGAGAGAGAGGCAGAGAGAGAGGGGGGGGAGACAGAGAGAAAGAGAGAGAGACAGACAGAGAGACAGAGACAGAGACAGAGAGAAAGACCAGAGAGGGAGAGACAGTACCGTGTTGAGGGTCCGATCCCTGCCAGGACTCAGGGTACAGGCTGAGACTTTGGGATATTTCCCACCACCTGGGACCAGGGGCAGCCTGGAAAGTTTTTTCCCCCCCGCAGGTTTGCAGCCCCACGCCTCTCCCGTCTCCCCACCTACCCCGCCCTCCTCTGCGGAGCCCTCCCTGCTGTAGGACCCTGGTCTGGCAGGTTTGTCTCTCCGCAGCTCCTTCTCATCTTCCCACCGCTTGGAGTGGCTACTTGGTTGAATATTCTAGCAAACTGGGAGGGAGTTGTAACTTAGAACGGCAAGAAGAACCCCAAGATAGAGTGGCTTACTTTGGGGTGTGGAGTGGACCAGGCTTTGGGTCACTCCCAAATTGTGAGCTGCCCCAAGCATTTTTTTTTTTGGCCACACCAGGCTGTGCTCAGCGTTTACTTCTGCCCTGGTACTCAGGAATCACTCCTGGAGGGCTCCGGGGACCATACGGGATGCTGTGGATTGAACTCAGGATGGTTGCATGTGAGGCAAACGCCCCACCCATTACGTATGACTCTGGGCCTGGGTTTCCTCAAACTTGGAGAGCCGTCAGTACACCCCAGACCAAGTACCCCCTTCCCAGGATGGGGGAGCCCTTTTGGGTCACCCGTTGAGGAAGGAGGAGCAGAGAAGTCCTGTTTTCTTCTCTCCTGCCCTGGGTTCTGGCCCCATCTGGGAGTTGCTTAAAATTCTGGGCCTCAGTGCCCCTGGCACCCCTCCTGCATGTCCCTGGGTTCACCCCGGTCCAGTTCTCCAACTCCTCCTACTACTCTTACTGGAGCTGCTTGCATTTGGGTTCAAGTTTCCACCCCCTTTGTCATTTGTCCTTTATTGCTGGCAGTGCTTTGGGGTGGGGTTCCCCTTTGTGTTTTGGGGGAAATGGGGTTAGAGCTGGAAGGCTGGGGAGGAGAAGAAAAAAGAAAGCTACAATTACTATGCCAAAAAGGGGGGAGGGGAGGAGAAAGTTGGGGATGAACTCACAGAATTGAGAAACTCTTCTAAGGAAAAGCAAGAGCAAAAGTCAGGGAAGAAGCTCCGAAAGTCATTGTAGTTCTCCGGGAGCCAAAGCCGGGCACACATCTGGGTTTGCAGTGGCTGACAGGCATGCAGAATCCCCCCTGCCCCCACCCCCCAGCAGGGCGCTCCTGGCACCGGCTTGCTAATTACAGTGCATATGTCTCTTTGCTGTGTAAATTCCTGCTGGCTGGGCTGTAGAAGGTTGTTGTTTTTTTAATGTATTTCTTAAAAGTGTAGGATGGGGCAGTTGTGATAGTATAGTGGGTAGGGTGTTTGCTTTGCACGTGGATGACTGGGGATCCATCCCCGGCACCCCATATGGTCCCCAAGCCTGCCAGGAGTGATCCCTGAGTGCTGAGCCAGCAGTAACCCCTGACTCAAAATGCCAAAAAAAAAAAAGTGTAGGATCTTTGGAGTGGAAAATAGCGCTGTGGGCTGAATCTTGTGCTCGGCATGCAGGAGCCTGAGTTTTATTGCTGCGTGCCCCCCCTCTCCCCAGAACACTGAGCCAGGAGTAGCCTCCCCTGGTCCCCCATCCCCAGCACCTTGAGGTGTAGCCCCCTTGCCAAACGGAAGCAGGTGAGGATAGTATTCAATCTGGGTGTTTCTGCTTGAAACTGGAGGAAGAGCAGCAGGGAACTGTGCCTCTGGACTCCCTCCTTACCTCCTGCTCCTCACCGCCGGCGCCTTTTCTGCCGGCTGTTGGCCTTGGTGGCCCTCAGCACTCAGGCTCCTCGGGCTGTTTGCTTTCTGCCTTGCATGGGTCAGTGTTCAAATGGGGTCTACGCGAGGAGCTCAGGGAGCTTCTGCCCCTCTCCTGTTTTAAATGATGACTCTCACCTTCTCTCCGGGGGTGGAAGAAGGTAGCACTAATTGGGTGTGAAATAATTCAGCTGGACTCCTGGTTTCTGAAGTGGGTGCAGATGGGGAGATTTGCCCTCATGCTGTCTGGGAGCAGAGGAGGCTGCCAGCAGCGGCCCATCCCGGAGAAATCTAGATTTTCATTCTCTTAATTGCCAGTTTTCATTTAAAGGTGGCGTCACTGAAAGCGTTTATCTCCCCAATCCAACACACCTTTCATGTTTAACTGATAGATTTGGGCTTTGGCAGATGGTAGCGATTAAATAAATGGGGATGTGTTGGGGCCCCAGAGCGATAGTACAGCAGGCTGGGTGCTTGCCTTGCATTCGGCTGCCCCAGGATTGATCCCTGGCATCCTATATGGTCCCCCAAGCCCCGCCAGAAATGGTCCCTGAGCTCAGAGCCAGGAGTTAAATCCTGAGTACTACTGTGACTCAAAAGCCAAAAAAGAAAAAAAAAGAGGGGGGGAAGGGATGGGATGCGTGAGCCTGTGTGTGCCTGAGAAACATCCTTCTCTAGTTGAATGTTGTTTTACTAAGGCCAAACCGATGGCCAAGTCTACCTCCTGCTCTTTGCAGCCTTGGGACGGTTCTATTTCACAGCTGTAAGTAGAGCAAGCAGAGGCCTGGGAACAGGACCACAGGACCAGAGGAAATAGTGTGGGTGAAGCAGGTGGCTCAGGAAGGCCTGCTTCCCCCAGGACTGTTCCCCGACTATCACCCCTACTTTTGGGGTTCATGAATGATGATAAAGTTCTTTCATTTATTTTTGTTTTGGGGGTGCTGATGGTTCTGAGGTTACACCTGACTTAGCACTCAGGAATAACTCTTGGGATGCCAGGGATTGAACTCATGTTAGCTGCGTGCAAGGCAAGTGCCCTACCCATTGTATTATTGCTCTGGCCCCCAAGCTCTTCCTTTAAAAAAATAATGATACGGACCTGGGGTCAGAGAGATAGTTCAGGGGGTAAGGTGCTCACGTTGCATGCAGCCAACCCAGATTTATTTCTGTCACCCCATATGTCCCCAGAGCCCTACTAGGAATAATCCCTGAACGCAGAGCCAGGAGTAAACCCTGAGCATCTTTGGGTGTGCCACCCCCCCCACCCCCCATCCTACCTCCCCACATATAGGCCTCAGCAGGAGGGAAAAGAAAGTGTCAGCACTATAGTGAGAAGTAGATGTCTGTCCCCACCATGAAGCGGTCCAGGGCAGCTGTGGGAAATAGGTTCATGAGAAAGCTGAAAATGTGTGTGTGTGTGTGTGTGTGTGTGTGTGTATATATAAGAGAGGAGGTGGTCTCCAACTCTGCTCTTTGGGGTGATGTATACGCAGGTCAGGAGTAGGTCTGGTTTCGGGCACTTGGGGTGTCTGTGTTGCGTTTGGACATGGTGCAGATTTCCCCTGAGCTGTGGGCCACATCCTTCGTAGCTTGCTGGGAATGTCTGGATGCAGAGGCCAGAGCAACCAGGCACCCTGCACCCCCCTCTTCATTCTGGGCTCCAATCCTATCTTATCTCGGGCCTCCTTTCCCACGGCTGGGCCCTGCAGGACTGTGCTCTGCCGGCCTGCTTTTCCTCTGCCTTTCCTCAGGTTTGTTTGCAAGTCATTTGAATCAGGGGCCTTTTACTGCTTGTAAAAAAAAAAAAAAAAAGGAAAGATCACTGCAGGAGAGGCTAGGTGGGTGGGGTGGACACTTCATTCTGTCTTCCTTTAGCTGTGAGCAGTTGTGGTCTCTGCTATGGGACTTTAAAAGAAAATAATTCAGGGGGCCGAAGTGATTGATAGTACAGCGGGTATAGATGGCACTTGCCTTATATGCCAGAACTTACATGGCTCAGGTTTGATCCCTGGCACCCTGAATCCTGCCAGAATCCCTGAGCACAGAATCGGATGTAAGCCTGAGCACCCCCAGATGTGGTCCCCCAACAACCACAAAATCAATGCCTGAGAGGTCGCTGGGCTGAGAACATCACTTTGCCAGATCCTGGGCTCACCATTCCCCAAACACTGCCAGGAGCCACCTCTGAGCACGGACATGGGAGCAGCCTCCAGCATTGCTGGGGGTGGCCCCCAAACCAAACCAAAAGAATTCTCTGGAACCTGTGAAAGTCTTGTTGGGTAAGTTCTCAGCCTGGGCTCCGTGTCTCTGAATAAGTATATGTTGATGATCGGATGAGGGCAAGCAGTCCCAGAATCAGATTTTGAAAAGTGTTGTCTGTGGTTTTGAGACGGAGCGCAAAGTCGCAGAGCCCCGTGAATGGGACGGAGTAAGGGTGCCGCGCCCTTACTCATTTCCCATCCCGAGGAAAGGCAGAATCTGTGGTCATGGACTCTGCTACTTGGTTCCTTTGAGACATTGTAGTTGGAAAGGCTTATGAAGAAAAATGCGGCAAGAGCTCAGCCACCGCTGGTTTTCCAGGCAAAGCAACACAACTGGAAGCATGATGAATAACGCCTTCCTTTCTTTTGTGATTTAAGTCTGAGATGGAGTTGGCTACCTTAAGTGATCGGTTAATTGTTTCAAGATCTTGTTCTAACCCTCTCTAAAAGGAAAAAAAAA